TGGGATCATCATGCTCTGGTGGTTCAAGCCATGAAAGCATGTTAATCCCATCTTTAGCATATACATTTCAACCTACTTTCTGTATCCAACTTGTATCCAAGAAATAGAACCAGTAGGAGATTTTCAAGATTAATTGCTAGGTTTTGGCATCAGCAATTATGGAAGTAGACTAGTTCATTTCAGAACCACATGACAGATACTCAAGAAGGACAAACTAAGTTCCTGGGTAGGACTTGAAGCTACACCCTGGGAACAGCATTTCTTCTTAAGAGAATACTCATTTCTGTGTTGAAGTTATTCAGCTGTTTGTACCAGGATCACCCACATTATCTGGGAAAATCTTTGTTACTTAAAATAAACCGACTATAGACTTTAGTCTTTTATAAGATGCCTTCCCACCAACATCTAGGTTGGTGTTAAAAGTTAGCACTATAGCTTGGCCATTCATAAATGTGACCATCAGAGTGTCCTTGTACCAACAGTGTTTTTTAGTCACAGTATTTTTCTTATTATTCTTATATACTTATTAGTTATTATATTTTAAAGGTGATGAGCTAGTCTTTTTCATTGTGGATAATAAAGAAGTGATGCAGTAACTATATCCTAATGTCCCTTCATATTGAGACATAATTCTTTTTTATTCTGACTTTAAGAGATAATTTAAAACATCATTCTGTTATGCTTTCCCACTCTACTTCTTTTTTTATATTCTGTGCTAAGTCTCCAGCTTTGTACAATTGACTTAAAATATATAGTTCAGGGTAGCACACTACATGATGCTTGGCATTCATCAAATTGCTGTTAGAAAAAGATTATTTCATAGTTATTATATGCTCACCTTACAGTCACATTTGTTTTTTATAAATATTGCCATTACATCGCTGACTTACATTTGGCACATTATGATTCCCAAATAGTTCATCCTGTAGAACAATTGTTTTTATAACAAACAGAAGTTATTTTGAAGCATGGTCCAGTTTCAGAATGAAGACTAATGACCTGTGGAGAAGCAGGTTCCTCTGGGAAGCATAGTTTTGGTATACACTCCATTACCTCTGAGAGGAACTGTGGTGTTCTGCAAGTGAAGATGGCTCTGCAGTATTAAAACAAGTTTTGTTTGGTTTTTTTTTTTTTTTTTTTTGGTACGGGGGATTGAACTCAGGCCCCTGCGCTTGCCAAGGAAGCGCCCATTCCACTGAGCCAGCTCCCCAGGTCTTAAAACAAGTTCTTAAGAGTTGTGTAGACTCGAGTCTTTGTTGCACTTTAATTTATGATTTTCATTTCTAGATGAAGCCTGGCAAATTTTAGTGTAGTGCCAAACATTGTGGAAATGCCTTGTAGATACACTTATGAAAATAAATTTAAAATGGTTAATGAAACATGTATATTTTACTAAATTATTATGTTTTGTTATATTTTAATACCAGTGCTACTGACATAGCTAGCATAACCATGAACATATAATTTTCTATATAGGATAATTTTCTATATTTAGATAGTAACTTATCATTTCTTATGGCCACATCACGGCTTTTTCTCTAAATATTTATAGTATGTTCCTAAGTGTTTTAGGTGACATTCAAGACACTCTTAATGCCTTAATGAACAAGACCAACATTATTCCTGCCATTATGAAACATCTTATCTAAGCAGAGAAGAAAGACCTTAAATAAAATTCTGTGAAGATTGAGTTGAAATGAACACTGCAGGGCCGGGGAGATAGCTCAATAGAATAAGCACTTGCCTGGCAAGTGCCAGGTCCTGAATTCAATCCCCAGTACTGGGGAAAAAAAGAAAAGAAAAAGAAATGAACCCTGCAAAAGAATGCACATGCGTTATAGGGATAGCAAATGAGTTTGGGAGTGAGAGTTCTTGAGGAGGTCCCATTTAACTGAGGTCTAAAGCATGCATAATAATAAGAGCTAATCATGCTTATTCTTGACAGGCATTATTCTGTGTCCCTATTCTATATTTTTTTTCTGTAATATACATTTGTGTCCCTTTTACATATTTCATTTCAAACTCACAACAACCCTATGAGGTAGGCACTCTTGTTTTCATCTTCTTGCAGAAGAGGAAACCGACTAGGCAGTTAGCAGACTCCCCCCAGGTCGCATAGCTAAGGAGAACTGAATGTGGGATGTGAGCCATCATTACAGGGTGAAAATTGGGTAGAAGCAAACTGCTAAGATCATCTCAAGCAATGGGAATCTGTGTGTGAGTACTCTAAGGCAGGAAGGAGGAGAAGCTGAATACCTGGAAGTTGGTGAACTAAAAATCAAATAACAGATAAAAAAGTTAGAGGGAATGTTCTTTATTCATATATATTACTATTTAATCAGGGTGTGGTATTAAAATACATTGGGAAAAAAGTAGAGTTTATATAATGAAGAGATTGTTGCAATAACCTAATGAGATAATACTGGCTTGGACCCAGAATGTGACAGATGGAACAAATTAGATAGATTCTGCAAATATCTGGGTTATAGATGTAGAAGGGCTGTATAGTTTTGAGAAAGTCAAATGACTCAAATTTCTACCTAGAGGAGTTGGCTGGGTAGTGGCGCTAAAGGGACAGACTTGAAGATAAATTATAAGTTTTGTTTCATTTGAGTTTAAGATGACTTATATTAATGCAAGAGGGTTGGCCAAATAGCTCACAGGGGCCAGGGGTTCCATCCCCAGGCCTGCCATGCTGTCCTCGCCCCCGGTGCCACTGAGACACAATTGAGACTGGGAATGGTGGTGTGTGCCTGTAATACCAGCTCTTGGGAGGCTGTAAGCAGGCAGATTACTATGAGTTGGATCTAGTAATGAGACCCTGAACACCCTGTAGACCTTTCCCTAAAATACAAAACATATATATGTAAGAACTTGGCTATACAAGCCTGCAGAGAAAACTCTCTAAGCTTCATATAGCATTTGGTGCAGTAGTTTTTTGGCCTTGGGAGAGATGATAAAACATAGTAAGAAGACCTGGAATCACATATGGAGGAACAGGCTGTACTTCTTTTTGGGCAGAATAGGTGATAGACCACAGAATTGTTTTTTCTTTTAGAACTTTATGGTTGCACTAAACTGCTTGGGATTCCACTTTATCGAGTAAGAACGTGAACTTTTATCTAATAGGTTTTTTTTTCTTTTCCTTTTTGTTTTTACATCTTGTTTGACCTTAAGTGCTCTTTATTTTTATTTTTATTTTTTTCTTAAGTGCTCTTTCAGATGCAATTTTCTTTAAATTCGTATGAAATATTGCTTCAGAGTGCTTAACTCGTTTTATCCTGTGCTATTATCTTCTTCCTGCTGGGAATCTTTGATGTGCAAGAGATAGTTTTCATATGTAGCATTTTAAGTTTTTGTGTGTCCGATCATTCTGTGTAAAGCTACCATCTTAGACAATTTCAGTTTCCATGAAGTGGTTGGAGACCGTGCCCTGCCGACACCCATGTGGCTGCCTGTACCCTCTTCCCTGCACCCACACGTAAGACCACAGGTTAACCTGACAATACTGTTAGTTCATGTGGTGCAACTTCTGCTCCAAACTTCCCTTTTCCTGTTTTTTGTAGTCTCTCTTCTCTACCTTTCCTACTTTTCCAGTTTTCTGAGCCTTTTTAAAAATATTTATCAACTTCTTTGCGATTTCACTTCTTCACATTGACTCAGTCTATTATTGTTTGGTTTTTTTCTTTCTGTATTTAGGACAAGGTCTACAGGGTCTCACTATATAGATCAGAGTCATAGTGATTATCCTGTTCTCAGGTATTGTTTTTGTTAATTGTTTAATTTTATTTTTTGTTAAAATGTGTTATGTATGTTGGAGTTCAGTGTGGTATTTCCACACACCCTTGCTAACCATGTAATTTTTTTTTTTTTTGCTTCCACATAGGAAAAAGAACATGATAATTTGTCTTTCTGCTTCAGGGTTCATCTTCTTAACATAATGCCCTCTTGTTCTATCCATTTTGCTACAGATGGCAGAATTTCATTCTCCTTTATATCTGAATAACACTCCATTCTCTTTATCCAGTCACCTGTTTGTGGATAACTAGACTGAATCCCTATTTTAAGTATTATGAGTAGTGCTGCAAAAAATGCTTGTTCAGGTATCTCTGTAGCATGCTGATTTCATTTCCTTTGAATACGGGACCAGAAGAAAGAGAGCTGGATCATATGGTGGCTCTGCTGTGCTATTTTTGAGGAACCTCTATACCATTCTCCGTAATGTCTGTTTTATTTTAACTTGCTTTCTTAGGACCCATTTTGCATAGAATCTTATAATACCCCAGTTTCTTTTAATTCAAACTTCTGAAATAACCTTTTCAAACACCCATTCGCTGGTAAACCCTGATTACTGGTGTTAGTTACTAGCAATAACTCAGAAAAAAGGTATGCATCAGAACTATACTATATTCTCAGATAATTTGTTGAAAATGAAGATTACATCATGATTTGCATGTTCCTACTACCACTTTATATTATTTAGTATCAACCCTACCTGTGTTGTTGCAAACTAAATCCAAGTTCATTTTCTGTTTTTCTCCAGAGTCATAATTCAGAACATTTTCACTTTTCTCAAATGTCTGAACTCAATTTCAGAGATCTTGTATTTAAACCAGACTATCAAACAAATCTGTACCTACTTCCTCAATTTACCCTTCATTTCCAAATTTCTTTGTCTATTTTTCTAATGTTTTACTTATTCCAGTCTGTGTCAAAAGAATGATCACTTTTTTTTCCCCCAAAGTTAAGTTTTATTTTTCCTCAAACATATAAGGGAAACTCTGGAGAAAGTAAAGTTGAAAAGCAATTATTGTGTTTATGTGATTTTTATAGAATTATTGGATTATTAATTCTATATACTTGTTTTTGACATAATATGGTATTTGAAAAGCTCTTCTAAAATGCTATTTGTGCTAATTGTATTAATATTTTTGGTAGTGTATACTCATGTTATTAAAGTATTAATCAAATATATAATGTGTTTGCTTTGTTTTACTCAGAAAGGCTTGTGGTGGTGGCTGAACATTGTGAACGGAGCTTGGAAGATTTGCTTCGAGAAAGGAAACCTGTGAGGTACTGTATAATAGCAGGACAAGTAAATGAAGAGTGGGAATTGGCAAACAATAAGGCATTTTAACTAGAAACTATGGGCTTTGTTTCCTTCTGCTACTTGTTTAATAATAAAAACCAGTGCAAATTTTCACTCCAGAAAATTTATTTCACAAGCTACATAAAAATTTTAACATTATACGTGGTTCAGGATTTGTGAAATAATGACCGTTTGAAGTGCCTGAAAAAAACTCCCGAAAAGAACATAGGTACATGGAAGTTCGAAATCTTCTAGTGTTAAGCATTTCACTACATGAGAGTCAGTTTATCTTCCAGAAAGGTGCTACATGGTAGATTGTCACAGGATACTGATCTTCCTAAGGATACAATGAACTGTGTTTAGCAGGACATACAATAATCGTGACTTGGGTACAATTTAAAGAAATAGTTTTGAATTTAGTTATTTCAGTGACTTAATGAATTTACTTTCTGTCTCTTGGCAATAAGATTGTATGGCCAAAACTTTTATTACAAGCACACTATTAAGTAAGCTGTTACCTAGACTTTCTGAAATTATCTTGCCATGAATCTTTGTGGCATTGTAATTATTTTTCTTTCCAAACCTGTGACTCGAATTACCCCAGTGTGATGCAAGGGGAGGACCCGGAAGAGCATGCTCCAGAACTGTGCCGGCATGGGCCAGTTTGGATTCCAAAGAAAAGTACATTAAAAACCAGGATGAGCAGTCCACCACAGTTATTAGAACTCAGTGAGTACTGTAGCTTATTCTGCAGGTGTACAGCAAGAAATGGTGGTGTTCTCCCTGGTACGTATGCAGTCAAGGTCAGGGCCTGATGTATATATGAGTGTTTAAGGAATTTGGATTCAGGACTGAGCCCATTTCCTTTCAGGGTTTTGAACCACATCCTAAATGCCCTTATCAGTGCCAGGGAGCATTCAAAGGCTTCACTTGGATAGAAACCTGCTAGGAAAACCCTGTAGCTGGCCGGGTCACTGAGCAGTCAGGCCACTCTTGATTTTTGTTTAGGGCACAGAAATAAATTTGGGGGTGAAAGGGAGGTAGACAGGGAATTGGGGGAACTGTTATAGTTTTTAAGAATAATTTTACCCTCATTAGTTAACACTTTGTTATTGCCACAATATTCTGCATAGAAATAAACTTCCCAAGGAGAATGCCTGGTATGGTGCGCATACCTATAATCCCTACTAGCAGGAGCCTCAGACAGAAAGATCACACAAAGTTTGAGGCCAGTCTGGAGTACATAGTGAGTTAAGGCCAGCCTGAACTAGTAAGACCCTTTCTCAAAGAACCAAAATTAAATTAAATTTTAAAAATTAAAAACTTTTCCAAGGGAAGAAAATTATGTATCTTGCTAAATCGTAATAATTTTCTAGAAGCAAAACAAGTAAATTGAAGGAAAGAACTTCTCTTGGTAGCTACATGGAGTGGTGTATGCTAGTAATGTCAACACTGGGCAGCTCAGACAGGAGGAGGCAAATTCAAGCCCAGCCTGCACAATTTAGTGACTGGTACAGCTTAAAACTAAATGACCTCATGAAGCCTCATGCTCATAGGTGGGAGTTTTGACAGGAGATTGGATTATAGGCTTCTAGCTGAATGCACAGTGACTAGATGGGATCTGTTCTGAAATGCAGGTTGCTGGGGTTGAGACCCAGCTCATTTGACTCTGTGCTTCCTGTCTACTGCACTCCTCCATACACCATGTCCTTTCCTGCCTTGGAGCTGGCCAAGTACAGACTGAATCCTTTAGAAAATGTGAGCAAATAAACAACTTCTTCAAGTTACAGATTGTCCCAGTAATCAGAAAGGTGACTGAGACCATGACCTAGCAAGTCTTCTTTCAAAAATAAAACATAAAATGGCAGTGGGAATGTAGCCCATTGAGAAGGGCCTGGGGGCTGAGGAGATAGCTCACTGGCAAGTGCAAGGTGAGAGAGAGAGAGAGGGAGAGGCAGGCAGGCAGGCTGAGAGGAGTAGAGGGGAGAGAGGGGGAAGGAAGAGAGAGAGACAGAACAGACTGAAGGACAGACTTTGCTTGGTACTTTAAATGGCTTGATTTTGAGTGGCCTCTGCAAAGAAAACAGTGAATAATGTATTCAAAGAAGGGTCTAATCTGTGGTTCCCAGGCTGGACACATTTGTGTTATAATAAAAAGTCACAAAAGTGGTAATTGTGACTGTGCTTACTGGCCTGCAGGACATACTATCTTAGAAAGTCCACTTCAGGTCTTAAAGTGACTTTTGAGGGCTAGAAATACAGCCCAGTGGTACAGCACCTATCTGGCAAGCACAGCATCCAGAGTTTGATTCCTGGCATCAAAAAACTAAAAATAAATAAAGTGACTTTTGTATATGTTAGAAATAGAGCTTAACCTTCTTTAGTAACTATCCTTTCATAGTTACAGGTTTTCATACTTAGACTGTCACCAATCTTTGACTTTTTTAAAGAACATACCTTATTATTTTTTGCTCACTAGTTCACATTTATACTATAATTCATAGACCACTTAGCCTATAAAGAATTTTCTGTGAGAACCTGTTAACATTAAGATTTAAAACTAATCTTTATCTAAGAAAATAATACTTTTAAATAAGCCTGGGTTAAATTTGTATAAGGATTTACAGTGTGTTATGTATGATAAAAAAGCTGCTAGCTAGTCAGCCATGGATAAGCCTATTAACCATTTTCCATATCTGTAAAACAAGGAATTTCACTTAATATATGGATCATTTTAGAACAGATTGTTTTCAACTTAGTATCTTAATATTCATTCCACTAGATAATACTATATTGATCAATTGTCCTTATAAATGTTTTTGTATGTTTTCTCATACTAGTATATTGAACTACTACTATTTTTACTTAAAGCATAGGTTCTTTGATTAAAGAATCTGTGGTAAATCTAGGTGCAAAACTTCAGGAAGTTCCCAACATGTAAACATTTGAGTTGAGAACTTTGACAGATGCACTATATAACACTCATTTTGTCAGATTACAAATGAATCTGATTTACATTCTTCCCGAATGGAACTTGTTTGTATCTTGGGGACTTATAGTAATGTAATTTAGAAGATTAAAATTAGGTAGAAATATCCTTTTACATACTGGTGATTCTACTCTTAGACACAGGGTTTTTTAAATTGTGTACCTTAGTGTCTTACCTGCCTCACTTTAGTCCCCACCCTGCCTAGGTGTTTAACAGAGCAACAACAACCAAAAACGTGTCTACCAAAAGATTCATGAGAGAAACAGTCCAAACTGATATGAATATAAATGTCCATAAATGAGATGTTAACATAAAGGAGTGAACTATTGGTATATCCAATACATAGATGAACTTTGAAGCTATTATGTTGAATAAAAGAGCCAGACAAAGGATTACATTCCTCCATTTATGTGACATTCTAGGACAGTCAGTGTTTATCTATGATGACAGAAAAACTGCTTTATTTCTGGTTGGTAGAAAAGAAGAATGTAAGAACTAATTCAAATTGGTTTTGCAAGACCAGGCCAGGGGTGGTGGCATACACCTATAATCCCAGCGCTTTGGGAGGCTGAGGCAGGAGAATTGCCACAAGTTTGAGGCTGACCTGTGCTGAGTTACTCACTTGGCTTGAGTAAGGCATTATGTTGTTAATGGTGGTACTCAATCCAGTAGCTCACTTCTTTATATTTGTGGCTTTGAGAAGATACAGTATGAATTCTTTATTGCTTATCCAACTTTCCCATACCTAGTGGTTTCGTGGGTCTGGAATTGAGGAATGGTTCTAGCTTAAGATGTAATCTATGGATGGATACCAATCAAGATACAAGTTACTACAGTCTTCTAAAAGTTTGAACAGGGTTGGTGATCTATTCCAAAGACATTTCACTCAAAAGATGGTGCAAGATTCGACAACAAACTTTGGTTCTGCCTTCTGTTGGATCGTATGCTGCCTGTCTGTTCTCACAAAGTAAAGGTGACAAGAGTAGAATTTGCAGTGTCTCTTCTGGCCTAGCCTCAAAATCCATTTCCACATCTGTGCTGCGCAGGTCCAGTATTAGCTCTGCCCACCGTGGGGGAATCACTCAAGAATATGAATTTGGGTCGTCAGGGTTCATCTTACATCATTTTAAGGCTTATTTAACATATAAATCATAGAGATTGTATAAGGACCATTACAGTAAGACAAATGCTAAAATAACATTGATACCTACTGAAAAATAAATAAAGTTCATCAAATTATTCCATATTAGAGTATGTTGAGCAGTAGAAGGAATGGAGTTTGTATACAAAGAGTGAAGTTTTAATGGAATATTCCTAAGTGATAGGGTTGGATAGGGTCTTCATGAGCAGTACTGTGCCATCATAAGATTTGAGCTACCCACTGAGATGCTTCTAAGCCATGCTCTTGTGCTCTAAATTCCAGAGGACTGAGGCCTCCATGAGGCATCAAACAGGGTAGGGAGGAAGGCCACAGTGGTAGAAGTTCCCTCTGATGCCCACATTTCTTTCCACCCATATGTGTCCTTCCTTTACTTACTAAAATAACTGAAGCAAAAAAGGGAAGTTCATGACTCAGGAAACAAATTTTCATCTTCATCATTTTATTTTGACTCCACCCTTTTTTTCTTTTTACATTTTTAAGATTTCAAGTTTACTAAATAAGGATACAGCTGACATAGCTTTGCCAGTGAAATTTATGTTCATTACCTAATGAGAAGTTTTAGCTCTCTATTCTGGTCATCTGTTTATCCTTATTTTAGAAATGATGATGATCCTGGCAGTGAACAACAGTAGTTTCTACAGTGTAAGAAACCGAGAAACTGCCTTTCTTTAGTACCTTAGTGTCTGACTTCGGAAGAATAAATGATACAGATGAAAGTACTCTCAGAATACATATGAGTGTAAATATAATTGAATGCAGAATTCATATAGTCTGTCATACCATGTACATTTTATCCTACTCATTTTTCATTGACTTCAAGCAGAATGTATTGA